GAATGATGATGGGATCCCATAAGAACCATGTACTTACTGTATCCGAGCCTTATACTTGAAAAAATAAAATTTGAGAAAATACTGGAATATAAGAGGTTCTGTATTGCAGATACATGGTATCAATAACTGTTTTATACTGATCTCGTTTGCTACAGTAAAATGGAATCCCCGATAACAATATCAAAAAACATCTAGGGAAATATCTCAACTTACTGAAATTTTTATCGATTTGAGGTGTGTGATATGATACAAACGTTGCAGTCTTTTTTTTGTAACCGATTTATACCAAAACAATATAATATAGCAAACTGTGGTTGCTATACGTATTATCCTACTTTCGGCAAACATCTTGCCAAGTCTTTAGAACCAATTAAAAAAAGAATTAGCAATAATAAGCCTAGAATTACGTCTAGGCTGGCGAGCGCATCAAATACTTAATTAGCCATCAAGGCTGCATGGCAGTACTGTTTATTCTTCGGTCCAAGATCGATATGTGGACCATTGTTTTGAGCAGACTACAGTTCAACGCAAACTAGCTTTGCTAAATCTTCTTTGATTCAAATTGTACTGTGAGGGATTAGTATATTTTATGGTGGTGGACAGTTTGGTTCAGGGAAGTGATGTTTTTCGAACACTTCTTTGACAATATGCGCACCTTGTTTATTTAGTTCATTAATTCTCTTTTGATTCGTTGGATCAAAAGATCATAATAAATAAAGATGTGCAGAAAGATAATGTGTGCGAAAGTCATTTTTCTTGATTTATACTAACAAGACTAGCAAATGTAGCTCAAATGGCACTGAAAGTGTGGTAGTAAAGGGTATACTAAGAACCTAGCTAGGTTAAATCTCTTGCTGTAAAAAGAAAAATTGGATTATATGATAGGGTGTTCAAAACTCTGTTTATGTCAAGTTGGGAGGCAATCTCCTCAAACAGAAATTTGCTAGGTTAAAGGGGAACAACAAAACAATGTTGATGGAACCATAACTATTCTAATAATTTTCATAGTGATTTAGGTTTGGTGCTTGGTTTTCAAGACATGAAATCAGAGCTATGGCAAACCAAAGGGCCAAATACTCTTGAGCTTCGAGGATACACCTTCATGGATAGAATCAACTTGAAAGCATCTTTAATGAATAATTTAGTTTGTATGTAATATGTACTACGTTTGTTGATCACCTCTCTAATTGGAGATAAACATTGTCTATGCATTTAAAGTCAACATATATTAGAGATGTGGTCAGTAATGTGATTAGTAAATAAGTATACAATGACAAATTGTATTCATGGTGTATTATTGCCGTGGGATTCCTTCAAATTGAATCGAATCGGATTAGGAAGCTTATCTATTGAACCAATATTATGACCTAACCCTAATTCAAATGAAATGATCATTGTACTATAGTTTGTTTGTTAATTTTTTTTTTTGGGTATGAACAGAAACCCCAGGAAAGGGCAGGTGTATTGCATTGAATTGGTCCTACTGATACTGAGCAGTTGGACCGCGCACAGTGAGTGTCAGAAATGGAAGTAGCTAGCTAAGTTTAATACAAACTTATTGCAGAGTGCAGAGAGATACATGAAGAAAGTAGCACGCAGCTCTGAAGCGCGTGCCAACGTTGCATCGAATCATCGGGAGTCCGGGAGGGACCCCCTGCCATGTCATATTGTCCAGTCTACGAAACTGACAAAACAATAGTTTGTCTCATAGCGTGATCAAGCACACACTCACGCGCGTCAGAGCTGCGAAATGGTCAGACATGCATATATCCTGCCGCCCCTGCTGCTCATCTTTCATTTCGTTCCATTGCGTTCCCTTGACTACGTGAGTAGTGCCTTTGCCCAAAAAACCCTAACGTTATTCTTCAGCACACAAACCCCGAGACGTTTAAGAGCGTTTGAACACATGCGAGTGAAGTATCATTTTAAGTAGATGTGTTTCACTTTTATTGTACAAAAATATTACTTCTATTATATATTTATATCATAATTTGTATAATCTCTAATAAAAATGTGACTTGCGATATGTTCTACTTTTATTAAAAAGATGATACAAATAAAGATAAATGTAGTATTTATTCTTTATTGTATTTTTTCCCGTCTTATAATTTGAATGAAATAATAACATGTGGAGCTGTTTCAAATTTATAAAAGAATTTCCTCGAAAGTGGAGAAACACTCGCAAAAACAGTATTTTAATTTCCTATTTTTCGGGTCATGAGAAAGTCGAAGACCAATACATTTCCATGTCTGATTGTATACGCAGTCGTCTATGATTTGGAATTGGAATTTTCCTGCGTGTGGAATTGAGTGATGATTTTGGAGTCTTTTGAGAGACTTGTCCTAAAGTAGTATACAAAACCAAATTCACGCAATTCACGCAGCCTCATGATGATCATCATCATAATGAATCATGATCAATTTAGAATCTGATCTCATCAGGGGCCCCGGGGAGGGGGGGGGGGCAGGGTACAACAATTAGTACATTCACGTATTATTCCGTAATCATTTTTTCTCGTCGGTCCAAATCTTAGTGTCTCACCCAAACCAATTATTAGGATTTCTATCGTAGAATAAGGTGCATCTTCATGCGCATAACAATAGTATTTTATATAATAAAACAAAATTTGGACATGCATGCATGTTTTGTAAACAAATGGATTTGTTGGAGAGTTGGATGCCACTCAACTCTCACGGTGGACGTATGTATATGTCTCCATTATGTTATGTTTGGACAAAAAGAAAGTGGGAAACTGATTTTTCTCTATCTTCTATGGGTTCCATGCAAATATATAATGAAGCAATATGGGTCAGAATAAATATTGGAGGACTGAATTTTATGACACTTTGTCCCACAAATTAAAGAAAGACGATGGTTTTGCCAAAATCTATGGCTTTTAATTAAGATAATCTTCCAACTAATTAGCTAGGGTTTTAAACTTTGTCTCCAGCCATGATGATGAGAGGATAAATATACCAAAACACACACTCACATACATATTGATTTGCACTCAAATTTAAACGTATGTAGTTTACATAAAATGTTTGTATATAACTAAGCATCCACACCAAGGAAAGAGAAGTCATTTTTATGTTTATTTAAGCATCTACACCAAGGAAAGGAACACCACCATGTTGGTCCACGGGCGAACTCATTTTATGGCAAGGGTGGGCAATCGCCCATCCAGATGCCGGAAAATCTTTCCATTGAAGTTGGTTTTGCGCATCTAATAAAAAGCCTAAAACCGCCAATTAGAGGAAGGCAAGGCTGCTCTAGTTGACAACAATAAGAAGAAGGAAACCTTTTTAAGTAGTGTTCTAAAAATCGGCCTAGGCGCTAGGTGGTGAAGGCCCACCCCGATTTTGGGCAAATCGTTTCGAAAAATAGGTCTGGAGCTAGGTGGTCCTAGGTGGCTCCTAGGCGGCACCTAGGCGGTCCTAGGCTTTTTTTATTATATATATTTTTATTAATTTTTTGCTTTTTTCTTTTTTGGTTTCATGATGGTATACTTATGAAAATGGTGTACCTAATTTGCAAATGATGAATTTACTACAAGTTCATCCAATAGTGAAACGAATTGGAGCACTTTTGAGGAGATACATACAAAGACAAGAATTAAACTAGATACAAAAGTTAAATAATTTAGTCTATGTCCAATCCAATGCAAGGATCATGATTCATGAACAAGAAGAATTTAGTCTATCATCCAAATCCTTCTCATTATGATTATATGCTTACTGTTTTTTAAATATTGAACTTTTTGGATGTATATAATTTGTGTATTTTTCTACTTCTATTTTTGCATTTTATCATTCTTTTAATATCCATACAAGTGTAGTTTTTTTTAAAGATGTAAATAGGCACTTATTTACAAGATATATAATAAATTTACATAAATCCGCCTAGGCCCATCCTAGTTGCCTAGGCGCTATGCCCCTACCCATCCGACTAGCGCCTAGCAATTTTTTCGAACCTTGGTTTTAAGTGGCTAGACCAAAATAGCATCGTTTGGTGCAAGAGTTTAACCCTGGCCAAAACAATGTCATTCTGGTCTAGCCACTTAACACCCGGCAGTCCTCCTCCCCCATCACAAACACCATTTCATACCTCACTCCTCCAAAGAAAAATTCTTGGATCCAACATTGATGTTGGTTGTGAAATGGGATTAGGCGATTAGTATATTCTTGAAAAAGGACGACGAAGATGAATGAAAGAAGAGGCCATATGAAGAAATCGAGTTGGAATACATCTTGTTTTGGCCCACCTTATATATAATACCGACGACGACGACCATATACAATTAAAACGGTGGACATCTAGCTGACAAGAATTAGCATATATATAAAGTGATAAGCTTCTCTTCCTTAGACTGGAAGCTAGTCCTTCTAGTGATTAACAATGGTGGAATTTTTTACTTTATTACAAAATGTGTCAATATTATAATACGTTATCGCAAGCTAAATCATAACAGGTGAAACTTTCCCAGTATTAAATGGGGGAATGGTATCAATTAAAGTCAAGAAAAGAGAGCCTCCATTTAACACTACTCTTGAATCTTGATCAGCTATCAAGTAATTGACACTTGACCTTAACATATTCGTTCACGAAAATTTCATATTTCAACAAGTTGAAGTCAGCCTTTACTCAGATTTCTCAACACAGGATAGTTTATTTTAAAAGTTCAAACCTCAAATTAAGCTTTTAACAATGGTGTTAAAAGGATCATCTCTAACAATATTATCATAATTATATACATAATATCCCCATAGAGATTAATAACAGCAGTAGGAGTAGCCTTATTTCTTATAAGCACATGCAAGACCTCTTAACTCTCCGAGAACAACACTTCCCATCCTCACACACAAAGTTCAACGACTGAATTAAGCTACGCATCTCCTCATTATCATAACCATATGCAATAGTTGCTATATAGAGAAGTTCAATTTCAGCAGAAGAAAGAACTGACGTTCAGCGCAGACAGTGCTATTTTGCTAACTGATTAAAGTACAACACGTTCGATTTTCATTCAAAACTCCATGAAGTACTCATACACTCATCACTAATTAATCAGTACTTGTGTTGCAAGCATGCTAGCTAATTCATACATCATATATATAATGCCTTCCTAAAACCAAACCCAAAAGATCAAAGTCCCTAAGCTCACAGATGAAGCAGGACAGAAAAAAGTAGACAAGAACATAAAACAAAAACCTACCATTATCATCATGAAGAACAAAGCTCATCATCCTTAATTTCCTCACATTTTTTCGTCAAATGATAAGAAGGGAGCTCTTGAGTCTTGATGTCTTCTGAGTTAATTTTCTATAAAATTAAGTAAAACTCAAAGCTAGCTTCGCAGTGAAGTATTCGATCTAATCACCAAAGTACAAACTGGAACTGAATTTTATAGGGGATTGTTAATATTATTGCTAGTAGTGGAAGTAGGGTTAAACCCCAAATGATCAGTCCATGCAGTAGTAGTACTAGAACCACCACTGCCGCGGCCGCTGCCATTACTCCAGAACTGATCATTTCCTGAATTATTATTCATCCCCAACAACTGCCTCGACAAATTCAACTCCTGATTCTGTTGTTGTTGCTGCTGACTTTCTAATTCCATCTTCACCGAAGCCATTTGAGATATACTCATCCCAGCAAACGGTACTCTCGGCCGCACCTGATTATACCCCGGTACCTCAACTCCGCTGCTCTCGAACATAAGCCCCGCCGGCGTAGGATCCAACCCGGCCATGAACGGAAATGACGGCGTCTGCTGCTGGAAAGTAAAGAGCGATCCACCGCTAGCTCCTAGACCACTCCCCATCTGATGAAAACCATTCAAGTCTCCAACTCCATAATTACTGCTATTATTATTGTTCATCATGCCGAAATTTAAGGCCATGTCGGTGGAGAAAGGAGACATGAAACGCAGCGGTGGGATGTGCGGGCTCATCCTCATGTTATTATTATCCGCCGAGCCGGCCGTGCTACTGTTGTTTAACCCTAAATTTGCGTGGCCCGACGAACCGGCCGAACCGGTTGGCCTGTCCGAGCTGCTGGCTGGGGACTTGGAGGCGCTGCTACTGGTTCCTTTGCTCCTTTTGTTTCTCCTGCAGCCGCCGCCAACTGGAACATTTCGCAGGGCCCCGCCTCTCGTCCAGTACCTTCTACAAGTCTTGCAGAAGTGGCGGGGCTGTGTGAGGCTGTAGTTGTTGAAGTAGCAGAACTTAGTGTTGGTGGATTCGCACCGCGGACATTTTAGTGCTTGCTCAGGGAGGGGGATGTTGGCCATGCGAGCTCGATCTGCCATAGAGCCTGGCCTGATCGAGCCCGCACCACCTACCCCACAGCCGTCATGAGTGTTTGAAGGCAGCGGCGGAGGAGGAGGCGGAAGGAAGTGAGAGTTGTTGTTGATGTTGTTGTTGCTAATGTTATTGGTGTTGCTTTCTGTTAAGTGGTGGTGATGATTTGGTTGCTGCAAATGAAAGGAGAGAAAAATCAAATTAAAAGGAAAAAATCAAATATCTGGTATATGCATGAAGATCATGAAATAAAACTATAAGATATTTAGCTTTTGAATTTTTTGTTTTTTCACTTTTGTGGGGGAAAGAAATTCCCTGAGAAAAACCAAGTTGAAGAAGAGGGAAGAGAGAGAGGTTACCTGCTGCCAGTTGGCCGGATCAAGATAAGCTGGAATGGAAGAGAAAACCATGATTCTCTCCTGTGGTGGCCTTTAATTCTTTCTTTCTTTTGTAAAAGGTTGATGGGTTTTTGGAGATAATAGTGGAGAGAATCACATCAACAACTAAGAGAAAGAAGCTAGAGAGAGAGAGAGAGTCACAGAGAGAAAAAGAGAAAGGAAGAAAGAAAGAAGGGGAGGGTGGGAGTGATGAGGAACAAAAATAAAGGAGGGGCCTTTTATGTATTTATATACTAATAATTCTTGTTGTTGTTGTTGTTTTGTTTTGCACTAAGACTACTCTTTTTGTTTTATCGCTTTTTAGGGTTTTGGGAAGGATGTTTTATCCCTCTATCAGTTTCTTAATCTATAAGCTTCTCTCTCTCTCTCTCTCTCTCTCTCTCTCTCTCTCTCTGTGGGTGCTGTGCTGTACTGTGCGCTGTGCTGGGGAAAAGTGATGAGTGGCTCTCATCCTGCATGGAAAAAGTAGATGGTGTTGTTAATAAACTATTATGTATGTACGTGTTGGTTTAATTTGGTGCAGATATCCTCTACATGGGCAACTCTCATATTGATAGTTTACCACAATTATTTGAAACACTTATCGACACCATCTTTATAATTCTGGTGAACTCTATTATTGTTTAGGTTTTAGTGATATTATATTAACAAGTATGTCTATTTTTTATGTCCAACTATCACACGACGTAAAATCAAATTTAGTTAAGTTAATTAAACTATGTTGCTCAACTCTCTGCACCTAATTAAGTTCTAATTCCATCTCCTCAATTAAATGGAAATATTCTATTGTTCGTTCAGAGAAATAAAAAGACTACAATGACCCAAATTTTGTATGATTAAAATATGAAATAACGCATGATTAAATTATGGAAAAAGAAGTTGTTAGGGTTAAAAAGTAAAAGTGGTTCTTGTGATTTGGTGGAGTGGCCTCAGTCCGAGTGTCCGACCGACTGAACCCTTTTACCCCGGTCCGTTCTGTTCCCTTCCCCTTCCCCACTCCCTTGCTTTATTTTTGCATGGGAATATTATTATTATTATTATTATTATTATTAAATTACTCATCACTCCCTCACTTTCTGCCCACGCGCCCTTCATCGCCATTCTCACACTCGATTCTTCTTTTTCCTCTAATGAAACATTGACCACATATTAATTGGTGAACCAAAGAATGACTTGGATCTATTAGACCTTCTCTAATCTTTGGGGATAAAGTTAAAAAATTTAAGTCATAACCTAGTTATTTTTCTTCTCCAACATTTATGGTTTAAAATTTTAGCTCGATATTATTAAACAATGATTTTAGCCTAACTTTATTTTTTCAGTAACTTTTTTGAAAATAAAATTTATGTAAATTATCCTGATTTATTTTTATGACCATTATAATCTAAAAATATTTAAATTTCAATAAGTAATTAAAAATTATACAAATACATAGGTATTTATTGTTATAAACTTCTTATTTAAGTGTGATTGTGTAAATCCTATATTAGATTTGATTCTAGTTATTCTTCCCTATTAGGACTTGTATTCCTTGGAGGAGAATGATTTCTTCCTCCCTTATTACTATAAATAAAGGCAATGTGAGGGGGAATAACATATCTTCTACCCAACCCTACAAACACATCTCTCTATATTTTCTCAGCACGTTCCTACCGTTGCGCTTAGGGATCTGACGTGGAAGTATTCTGCATCAAACCAGTTTATCAATATCATCACGCAATTAGGTTCTTTCAAAACAATGATTTTTATCTTGAAATTTTTGCAGCCCTGATAACATGAGCATTCACCATAATGCATGACCCAACTTTACGTTTTTCGAATTTTAGATTCTATATAAATTGTATATGCATTATATTCATAAATTATCGAATTATGTCAATTGATATTGCCATGAATTGCATTATATATCTACTCATGCATTGAATTATATGTTGAATATGTATCAAATTTCATTAATTTTATAATCTGGAATTGAATTTTAAAAAAAAAATTATTTTTTTAGGGTTTCGTTCAAACCTAACCATGTCACATAGGCCATCCCTTTCCCTTACCTGAGAAACCCAATCCTGGAGCCATAGCTCCAGGCCCAAACCCTAAACCCGATGCCTAGACAGCGTCGCATCTCCTGCATCGTCGAGTAGCATGGCCTACAACCATGCCCAACCACCACGGTTACCCTCCCAGACAACCTGAAGTTGTCACCGATGAGTCATGACCGAGATTCATTTGAATCTCATCGATTTTTCTTTCGAAATCCCAATTTAATTTTTCGGGTTCCTAAAAACAACGTTCAGAGTTTTTACTTTCCGTTCAAATTTTTGGGTTGCCGTTGAACCCACGGCATTCACCATGATTTTTTGCACCACTACATGACCGCCTGAAGCGGTGGCATCGATTTTCTTCTTCGATGAGCTCACCCAACTCACACTGGGGTGTCTGGATCAAAAACCCAAGCCCACTTAGGCTTGGCCTTTCTTTTGGCAAGCACTAGCCCTTTGGGCTTCATCGTCTCTTTTGGCCCAACATCGACCTATTGGCCACGGTGTTCCCACTGCACTAGATCTTAGTCGTTGTGCTACTGTATCTGTGTTTATATTGCACACGAGTGATGCCTTTATTTGGGCAATAGCTATCTGGGCCTGTATTTGCAGCCCACGTTTGTGCATATGAGCTTATTACTCAAAGCTCGGCCCATGAATGACATCAGCCTAATTGGGCTTTGGTATCTCTGTGTCTTTACTGCAGCAAAACCTAGCCCCCGTAGGGCTCCGGGTTCCCTGCACCCAATCACACCAGATCCCAGCCCGTAGCTGGTGATTCGATGCCCTTGGCCTGCGACACACTCGAACACGGCCCTCTGGAACACATATGTTGCGAAGCAGTAGATCCGTGCCTATTTGTTTTGGGCATACAGCCCAATCGAGCCCAATTTTTGGGCTTGGGCCACACGTTTTAAATTACTTAGCCCACTTGTGGGCTTTGGCCCATTATTCCCCAAGTTTAAATGCCTTTTTTAGGCCCTATGGGTTTTATAATTTTTGACCCACAATTTACTTTTTGGCCCGAAGTCCAAATAATTAATTCAATTATTATCAAGACTAAAGATCTATTTGCATATTTTCTTGTTGCATATTTCTGTATATATATTTGTGTTTGCTTGCAGGAACATATGTACTTGAAGTTCATAATTATTTCGAAACCTGAAATTTCTAAAAACATGCCTTGTTTGAAAACCTGAAGTTTTCCTTCAAAACATCACCCATGAAAGCCTGAAGTTTTTTTTTCATGTAAATTTAAACCAATACATGTTTATTAGAACCTGAATGTTCTACTCCTATGTGAATGGATTCATTTTTTCTCCATTACACTAACCACATTTTGTCCATTTATTTTGTGATAGGAACATGTCGAATTTGAACAAACTCGACTTCACCGCTTTGGAGGTCTCTAGAATTAGAAGAAACTACCGTAAGTGGGTCCAAGATGTGAAGCTCCACCTCACTACCAAGAATTTGAGTCCTGCTATTGAAAATGAGACGGACAACCCCGTTGGCGAAGTTAAGAAAGCCACTGCCATGATCTTTATCCGAAGACATATTCATGATGCACTACAAATCGAGTACCTTGCTGATGAAGATCCATGAGCACTCTGGGTCGCTTTGGCTTATCACTTTGATCACCAAAAGGACATCTTCTTGCCTGAGCAAGACATGACTGGTCGCATTTATGCTTCCTTGACTTTAAGTTTGTGTATGAATAAAATTCTGAAGTTTGTCGAATCTGATCACTTCTCAAGTTCTGTAATGTGACCTTGACCGAAGATGATCTCTTGGAGAAGACTTATTAGACATTCTCTGCTACTAATATTGTCTTGCAAAAACAATATAGGGCTCATAAGTTCACTAAGTTTTCAGATTTGATCTCTGTTTTACTTCTCGCTAAAAAGCAAAATCAGCTACTGATGTGCCTGAAGCACATTATAACACAAACCAACACCTAAAACGCCAACATAGGCGTGGTAGGGGCGGCTAGAAGCCACCCCGTCAAGGTCAACAGAGTTAAGGCTCACCTAAGGGAGGAAACCGAGCCCAGAAGCGCCTTAACCTTTCTCATAAAGCCCCAAACTTCAAGAATAAGGGCAAAGCACCTGAAACCATGGATGCAAACATGTGTTATCTCAGCGATTCAAATGACCATTGGTCCCGTGTTTGCCGAGCTCCCCAGAAGGTTGTAATTGAATATCATTTTCGTCGTAAGAAGTTTGAATCAAACTTTATGCAAGTGGAATAACCGGAGAATACCAAGATGGAGGTTTCTAACTTTCAGGAGGATACCAAACCTATGGAAGATTAGAATCTTAGACATGAACTATTTTTAGTTGATTTTTAGAATAATGGGGCCGAATTCCACCTAGTGGCCGAACCCCTCTTGTTTTTTTGCTTAAGTTTGAACAATTTTCCTTTATATTTGGATTATTTGTTGGTGATTTATTTTTTGGTATTAAGTTTTCATTAATTACCATCCTTGAATACTTAAATTATTTTGAATGGATATTTGTTTTTAGAACTTTTATGCATGTGACTGATTCAAATTAATTTTTATTTCTAGGTATGACTAGTGGGAAAGTTAGTTGTCTGACAGATAGTACAACCTCGCACACCATTTTGCGTGAACTCATCTATTTCACTAACTTCATACCTAAGAATGCACCTTTGACAACCCTCTCAAGTTCATCCAACCTGATTGAATGATACAGAAAGACATGTATAATGTTGTCTAATGATACAATCTTGACCATTGATGAGGCACTTTATTCTTCGCGTTCCGCAAGAACGTTGTTGAGTGTCAAGGACAATAGAGATAATAATTACCACACTAAAACCTATGTAAAAAATAGAGTTGAATTTCTATGCATAACTTCCTACGAATATGGTTAGAACTGTATTCTAGAGAACATGAAGCGTATCTCGAGTGGTTTGTATACTACGACCATACGCCTATAGAAAGCCACTATGTGGCCGGTCCTACCTTTGGGACCGTGCATGAAATTACACTTTGACATGATTGTTTGGGACACCCTGGACGAACAACGATGAGTCAGATCCTTAAATAATTACACGGGCATCCACTAACCTGAAGTTTAGGTTCGATTCAAGGAATCGTATGTCAAACC